AGGTGACCCTCTTCATAGAGAAAGAAGCGAAGCGAGAGGTTTTACTCTGCCTAATATCTGTTCAAGAAAAAAAGACCACGAAGTAAGACATTTTTGTATGGAGGTCAATTTGAGAGAGTGTCAATTTGGTCAACAAAAACTTGAATTGCTAATTTGATCGAATAGACGTTTCGTAATGGTTAGGTTGTTAAGAATGCATTGATATAAGTGGACGCGTGTGCCATTTCGGCAACTTTGATATTGGAGTTGTGCCTGTTGTCATAGAGATACTTCTTCTTCTTCTTCTTCTTCTTCTTCTTCTTCTTCTTCAATGAGTTTAAACGGCGGTTGGCATCCAATTTGTTGCATTACCGCCACCTACTAGACTGGATTACAACTCCCTTATATTTTGCTTGAAAATTAAAATAAAATAAAGAAATACCCTACCATCTAACACTACACTCACAAATTCAAAATTATTATTAATAATTAACACCACTCTTCTCCACTATTTAAATATATTCATTCCTACCTCATGCCCTCAACCTGAGATGATGGGACATCACCACTTAACACTCCCTGTAACTCTTCTGATGTAAAGTCTCACACACCCAAATACCTCTCTGCAGCTGCCACCACAACCTCAATTTTCTTCGACTTACGTTCCATCGCTGCAGTACAATTAATAACCATTGCTATAAACGCTAAAAATCCAATCTTACTGAAACATATATCACTTGTGGTGCTCTGTAGCTCAATTGGTAGAGCATGGCGCTTGTAACGCCAGGGTAGTGGGTTCGATCCCCAGGACCACCCATACGTAAAAATGTATGCACACATGACTGTAAGTTGCTTTGGATAAAAGCGTCTGCTAAATGGCATATTATTATTATCCCTTTGTACTGGTACATATCTACCACTCTCACCACTAAATCTGAGCATCTTCTCTCTCTGACCAACAGAAACACAAACAATTATCACTAGACCACTTCTGGTTACCCTCACGATGCCACTTTACCCAACGCTTTTTTTCCCCATCTTGAAACGACAAATGGATCAGCCAAAAGGCAAGGCTCCACTTTCTCCAAGACTAATCTTTATCCTGACCCTCTGTGCAAGCCTCTGGCTCCAAGTACTTCACCACACCTACCACCTCCGATACTTCACCCTCATTCACTTCCATTTCTCCTCCTGTCTTCAGCTCACTTTGCTTACATTTCCTACCATTCTTCTTTAACAAATCTTCTCCCTTTTTCCCGCCATTTTTTCCCGACTCAAGCTCACAATCTTCCTCCCTCTCTCTCTTAGACCTCCTCTGCCTCTCTTTTTCCTTCCATTCCCCCTCCGTCATCCAAGTATACATCTCCTTATCCCACAGCTGTCTGTTAGACATCGTTTTTCCTCCACAGGACTACCCTAACGTTTACTAAACAACACACGGTCCGGTAAAATGAACGAACCATAACTCCACAAAACTCTATCATAGAGATAGATAGAGGACTCATCATATAACCCATTTTTAGCATGGACATTGCTATTAAGGGCTTCCACCATTTTAAAGTAGTCAACTGGGTGGGGATTCCTATGAGTTGGGAGCAATCAGCCACTACTTTAAAATGGAGATAGCCTCAATGGCGCTGGCCATGCTGTCATAGATGCTATAATGGCACAGATACAAAGATTAGCTATCTCTATGGCCCCTTTACTCTGCCCTCTCATTGGCTAGAATGGACCCACCTGATCTCGCCTCCTCCCGCGTAACTTCCATGTGAAACTAGCGACATAACGTCACATGATCATACAGATTTTATTCAAAATTAAAGGCCCCCTGAAAAATGTTTACTTGGCTGTTACAGGACGTTTTTCTGATTAAAAATCACAAAAAAATATTGTTTAAAGTTCGAACACATTTATTGAAAATAGAAACAATATATTATAGAAATCAATTAACAAATAACAATTTACTATATGATTTTTTAAAAACTATAATCAATCAATCAAAAAAATTTTTATAAAGCCCTTTTTACATCAGCAGATGTCACAAAGTGCTATACAGAAACCCAGCCTAAAACCCCAAACAGCAAGCAATGCAGATGTAGAAGCACGGTGGCTAGGAAAAACTCCCTAGATAGGCAGAAACCTAGGAAGAAACCTAGAGAGGAACCAGGCTCTGAGGGGTGGCCAGTCCCCTTCTGGCTGTGCCGGGTGGAGATTATAACAGTACATGGCCATTAAGGCCAGATTTTTCTCCAAGATGTTCAAACGTTCATAGATGACCAGCAGAGTCAAATAAAAATCACAAAGGGTTGAAGAGGTTGCAACAGGTCAGTACATCAGGAGTAAATGTCACTTGGTTTTTCATAGCTGGGCATTTAGAGGTTGAAATAGCAGGTGCGTTAGAGAGAGAGAGTTGAAAACAGCAGGTCTGGGACAATGTAGCACGTCCGGTGAACAGGTCAGGGTTCCATAGCCGCAGGCAGAAGAGTGGAAACTGGAGCAGTAGCACGACCAGGTGGACTGGGGACAGCAAGGAGTCATCAGGCCAGGTAGTCCTGAGGCATGGTCCTAGGGCTCAGGTCCTCCGGGATGGGAGGGAGAGAGGGAGAGAGAGAGAGAATTAGAGGGAGCATACTTAAATTCACACAGGAGAATAACACCAGATATAACAGACTGACCCTAGCCCCCCGGCACATAGACTATTGCAGCATAGATACTGGAGTCTGAGACAGGCGGGGGTCGGGAGACACTGTGGCACCGTCCGACGATTCCCCCAGACAGAGCCAACCAGGCAGGATATAACCCCACCCACTTTGCCAAAGCACAGCCCCCACACCACCAGAGGAATATCAACAGACCACCAACCTACTACCCTGAGACAAGGCGAAGATCTCCACTGCACGAGCCCGTGGGAGCAACAAACCAGACAGGAAGATCACGTCCGTGACTCAACCCACTCAAGTGATGCACCCCTCCGAGGGACGGCATGGAAAGCACCAGTAAGTCAGTGACTCAGCCCCCATAATAGGGTCAGAGGCAGAGAATCCCAATGGAGCAACAGGAACCGGCCAGGCAGAGACAGCAAGGGCGATTTGTCACTCCAGTGCCTTGCTGTTCATTATGAGTTTCTTTCTTATAGTCCCTTTTAAAAAACAATAACAATAACAACACAATACCAACACTGTTGCTGGAAGAATTAGTGGTTTTTAACTGCTAACAGAACAGGATTTAATCATGTTTTGAAGATAATATTTTCAAATTGGCCTTGTCCAGGAGTAACTTTTGGATAGGGCCACAGGGCTAGGGTCAGTCCAGGAGGACCAGGGGGCGTGCTACCTTGTCCCGGACCATCTGTCTGTCTGTCTGTCTGTTTCTCGCTCTCTCTCTCGCGCTATCTATCTCCTCTGTCTGTCTGTCTCTCTCTCTCGCTCGCTATCTCCTCTGTCTGTCTCTCTCTCTCTCTCTCGCTCGCTCGCTATCTATCTCCTCTGTCTGTCTCTCTCTCTCTCGCTATCTATCTCCTCTGTCTGTCTGTCTCTCTCTCTCTCGCTCGCTATCTATCTCCTCTGTCTCTCTCGCTCGCTATCTATCTCCTCTGTCTGTCTCTCTCTCTCTCTCTCTCGCTATCTATCTCCTCTGTCTGTCTGTCTCTGTCTCTCTCTCTCGTTCGCTATCTATCTCCTCTGTCTGTCTGTCTCTCTATCTATCTCGTCTGTCTGTCTGTCTGTCTGTCTCTCTCTCTCTCTCTCTTTCTGTCTCTGTCTCTCTCTCTCGCTCGCTATCTATCTCCTTTGTCTGTCCGCCTCTGTCTCTCTCTCTCTCAGGCAGGGGAATCTGTCCTCCGTGTTCTGGCAGGCTGTAAGATGTTGAAGAAGCTGTCGAAGATGGAGAGTGAGACAGAGACCAAGCTTGGCCAGAAGTTTGATAGCCTGGCCAAAGGTAGGTTAGCCTTTTTCTTTGCTAAAGAAAAGTTACAGAATAATGCATTCTACAGATATGAGATGAAGGCTGAGAAGTGTTGAGCGTTAACCCCTTCCTCTCTCTCTTTAGACGTGTTCAGTGACTGCTACCAGAGTAGTGAGAGCCTCTCCTTCACCCTCCTTATAAGGAAGTCTCCCGTGTGGAGCAGAGCTACCTGTCTGCAGATGGTCACCACAGCCAACACCCACCTCTTCGTCAGCCACGACGGCGTGCAGATCAGAACTAAATACAGGGGTCAGAGGTCAGAGTGTGTGTCTGTGTGTGTGTGTGTGGTTTGTCATTCATCATTATAAAACTAACCAGACTCTTAGATTTCCAGAGTTTGTGTGTTGGAACATAGAGGATGGTTAATTGAAGTTTCTCAGGACTAACTCTGCTACATTTTTCTAGAAATGTTTGTAGAACAATAGATATTAAATGATAAATGTTTTGTGTTGTACTGTTCAAGACAAAAAAATAAACTAACAGATACAATAAAGTCATTATCAACCATTCTCATCAGTGCATTATGTCACCGTCAGGTTTGAGAAGTGTATCTACATCTCTCTCCCAGAGGAGCCTGCTAGGTCCCAGATGTTCCAACTGCACCTGGGCAACACGACCCACAGCCTGAGTGACGCAGACATTTTTACATTTACATTTTAGTCATTTAGCAGACGCTCTTATCCAGAGCGACTTACAGTTAGTGAGTGCATAATTATTTATTTTTTTTCATACCCCCCGTGGGAATTGAACCCACAACCCTGGCGTTGCAAACGCCATGCTCTACCAACTGAGCTACATCCCTACCGGCCATTCCCTCCCCTACCCTAGACGACACTGGGCCAATTGTGCGCCGCCCCATGGGTCTCCCGGTCGCAGCCGGCTACAACAGAGACTGGATTCGAACCAGGATCTCTAGTGGCACAGCTAGCACTGCGATGCAGTGCCTTAGACCACTGCGCCACTCGGGAGGCGCAGTGGCAGACCTGCGTAAGCTCACCAAAAAGACAGAAGGCTACTCTGGGGCCGACATCAGCATCATCATCATACCAGATGCCTTCATGCAGCCTGTCAGGAAAGTGCAGTCAGCCACACATTTCAAAAAGGTAATTTATACACATGATATAGTAACTCTATTGCAGTCGACTTTTATACAGCACACTAAAGGTGTATCTCTTTCTCTACAATTGAGGAGATTTAAGATAGTTTGTTGTCTGAGGTGGTACTCTAGGTGCCAGGATCATCCCGTGCTAACAGTGAATTGATGGTGGATTACCTTCTGACCCCGTGCTTGCCTGGGGACCCGGCTGCCATAGAATTGACCTGTATGGATGTGCCTAACGACAAGCTGCTGGAGCCCATCGTTTGCATGGTGAGAAACACAGATTCACAGCACAGACATACTCACAATTTTCACTGACATTCCCATTCACAAACATGCTGGAACATGCTGTTTCAGCATACACATCCAGGTATTGCAAACTGATGCTTACATTTGTGTAATTGCTCAACCATGCAACTCAATATTAGGAAGGTTTTTCTAATGTTTGGTATACTCAGTGTACTGTATATGTACCGTATATGATGGTGTATATACATATTAAGTGGGTTAAATAGTATGTAAACATTATTAAAGTGACCAGTGTTCAATGACTATGTACATAGGGCAGCAGTCTCTAAGGTGCAGGTTTGAGTACAGGGTGGAAGATGGCTAGTAACAGTGACTAAAGTTCATGGCAGGGTACTGGGCGGAGGCCGGCTAGTGGTGACTATTTAACAGTCTGATGGCCTGGAGATAGAAGCTGTTTTTTAGTTTCTCGGTCTCAGCTTTGATGCACCTGTACAGTCTCCGCCGTCTAGATGATAGCGGGGCGAACAGGCCGAGGCTTCCCCTCCTCCTTGCTTGGGCAGGTTTTGGCGTTCGTCATCACCGGCTTACTAGCCACTACCGCTCCATTTATCATCACTCCATTTGTCTTGTCTTGTCAATCACACACACCTGGTATTCATTCCCTCATTAGTCTGTGTATAAGTGTTCCCTCTGCCCCCTTGTGAGTGATTGTTCATTGTGAGAGTACTCTTTCCTTGTATGTAGCCAAGGTGGATTTTTCCCTTGTTCTAGTTTTGTTTTGACGCTTGCTGCGCTTTATTCATGTACACTGAATAAACTCTTGATTTCTGTGTTTTAACTCCTGCGCCTGACTCCGTCATTCACACATCATCACAGTGGCTCGGGTGGCTGAGGTCCTTGATGTTCTTCTTGGCCTTCCTGTGACACCGGGTGCTGTAGATGTCCTGGAGGGCAGGCAGTGTGCCCCCGGTGATGCGTTGGGCTGAACGCACCACCCTCTGGAGAGCCCTGTGGCTGCGGATGGTGAAGTTGCCATACCAGGAGGCAGTGGTGGAAAAAGTACCCCATTTTCAAACTGAAAGTCACCCAGTAAAGTCACTTCTACTTTTGATACTTAAGTATATTTTATCAACTACATTTCCTTTTGATACTTAAGTATATTTAAAACCAAATACTTTTAGACTTTTACTCAAGTAAAAGGATAAGAGCGTCTGCTAAATGACGTAAATGTAATGTAAATGTGATACAGCCCGACAGGATGGCGCGAGCCTCCTCCTAGCCTGCAGACCGGTGATTGGTCTGTGTCAGCACGTGGTCCTGTGTGACAACAAACGTAATAGTCAGAATGGATCACTATTTAGTTAAATATATTTTAAATAATTCACCGTGGGGATCGAACTTGATCATAATAAACGCATTTTAGATCCCAAAACGGCTGTTCTGTCGATCGTCATTTACATAGGCCTTCTAGGGCAGACTTGATGTTACCAACCAGCTCGAGGACGTTTGTGTCTGGTTTCCAAGACGGATATGGATGGTCTTGCTTTGCTGACTCTAAACGTTGTTTTTGGTGTTTAAAACGAGTTTTCCTCGAAATAAACAAGGGGACAAGCCAGCTGGCCACTTTGTGCATACGAACTGTCTTGTTAGCGTGTAGATAGCGATGCTTCAAGCTATCCACCTAACGGTAGCTAGCTAAATAGCTACAGTAGCAAGCAAACTAGTAATGCTAGTTTTGATTCTGTCTTTTTGCTAATCTTATTGACTAGCTAACATTAACTAAAATTCTTTGCCTCGCTTTAACGTTAGCTGACCAGTTGATTTTAAAATGAGCAAGCAGCTTACATTTATTGTTGAGCACCTGAATTAAAGACCCCTTCAAGAAAAACTTTAACCTGATCAGGTTTGACTCACTGGAGCCAATGCAACTGCTGCAAATTCTCAACGATGTTCTTGCTGAAATTGACACTAAGGGAAGACAATGTAAACAATGGCAATGTAAACAACAACCTCATAATTTTGATCATGAGTTGGCCAAGTTGATCTTATGTCTCAAATGTAATGTTGATGATGACACCTACCCCATTTGGAGCCCCACTACTATTGTGTTTCCAATTACCAGTCAGTCATCTAAAGTGTGAGTGAGTTGTAAATCATATTTTATTCATTTCAGCAAGCTATTGATATCCGTGAAGAAATGCCTGACCAAACAGCAAAGAGAATGTTCACTTTGCTTGGGATGTTGAAATACAAACCACCTGGGAATATGTCTGATCTGTAAGTATTTTTGACGTACAACTTACGGGGTCAAATCAGATTTTAGCAGTACAACCAATGACATTGAGTAGAACTCTGAAAGAGTTTGCTTCTCACTGTCTTTCTTCATACAGGAGCCGTTTTAGACAGGGCCTGGTGACAGGGAGTAAGCCTGTGATTCACCCTATCCTTCACTGGCTGCTGTAGAGGATCACAGAGCTGAAGAAGAGAGCTTACCTGGCTCGCTTCCTGGTTAAGCTTGAGGTTCCTGCAGGACGATGTCATCACTGACACCTATCACCAGGTTTGTTTAACACTGACTTCAAGGTGCAAGCATAACATCATACATGGGATCATGACTCCTCCTCTCGCTAGACTAGAGAGATCACACTATGATGCCATGATTAAAACCATTATTTTATTATTTTTAAGGTCACTGTGGGTCAGAAAGATGTGATGGAATGCATAACTGAGACGTGATGAATCATTGCATAGTGTTTGATCTTTTGTTTTTGTCGTATGAAGAACTAGTGGAAGGATTCAAGACCTACCATAAGGAGTGTGAGCAATTGAAGAGCTCTGGCTTTTCCACTGCAGAGATCAGAAAGGTAAAAACTTTTACCTCTTATCAATAGGTGTCACATGGAATACGCTTAAGACAGTGCTACAACACAATATTTTCCCCAACCTCAGGACATTGGTGCTATGGAAGAGGAGAAAGACCAGCTGATCAAGCGAGTGGAGCGGCTGAAGAAGAGGGTAAGGCAGGCAGTCTGTTTGAGGAAGCCCACCCTGTCATAATGCCTGAAACTCACAGGGACTCACAGAGGAATGAAAACATGACCTCTCATACACGCCAACGGATTCCTTGTGGTAATGAGACTGGACAGGCATCTGAGAGGCTCAAGGCTTCACCCTTTTACAGGGCAGAAGAGTAATAGAGTGCTATTTTAGTGGGTCATACTTTAAGGCCATGCCAGGAGAGGAAACTTGAGTTGTTGGTAGTGCCTCCCGGCTGTCATGTGAGGCGAAACTCAATCTCAGATGCCGAAACAGTATCACAGTTTCATCTGTGTCCACCAGGTGGAGTCAGTGTCCAACCACCAGCGGATGCTGGAACTGGCCAGACAACTACATGTGGAAAAAGAGAGAAGAGTCTCTGGCTCAGCAGAAGCAAGAGCAGAAGCACCAAGTAATGATATGTCATGTCTTTTTCAGTAGCTTGTGTCCTGCTTTGTCCAACTTTCCAATTTACAGGCTTTGTAACCCATATCATCAACTTTGCTGCATACAGAGTACAAATATGTGATATATATATATATATAGGTAAAAGTTGACATATTATCAAAGATTGCTGTCAATTACATATTCCAAATTCACTTACAAGTAGATTGATAAGCATGATGTTGGTTGAGACATGATGTTGGTTTCTTTTAAAATGCTGATAAGGTGTGTTGTCGTTTGGATATGTCCAGCTTTTACAGGCAGAGCAGAGACTGCAGAGATCTCAGCAGCAGCTGAAGGACCTGCAGCAGGCAGCATCAGATGCCAAGCCAGAGAGTGAGGAGGCCTGTTCTGCATCACCCTCCACGCCACAGCTGGTTGAAAAGGTTGAAAGGTCAAGGACACAGCAGATTAGGCTGAATCTCTGTTTAATTAATTCGCATCTATTAAGGCCCTGTAATCATCCTGATCTTTGAAGTGCTCCATTAGAGCTCACCATATATGGATTTGCCTATTTTTTTGTCCTCGTCTAGTGGTGGCCTCTACAATCACACAGGAGATTTACACATTTATAGTTTCCAAAATGACCAAAGTAAAGAAAGACAGACATGAGACCTTTTGTGGGTGGCACATCAACGAAGCATTTGACAATCCAATGACTCAAAATACCACATATCAAAACATGTGACCCTCTTATAAAGGTTTTCAGTCTGAATACTTATGTAAATGTGATATTTCAGTTTTTTACTTGTAATAATTTAGCAAACATTTCTAAACAGTTTTTTGCTTTGTCATTATGGGGTATTGTGTGTAGATTGAGGGAAAAAAATCTATTTAATCCATTTTAGAATAAGGCTGTAATGTAACAATGTGGAAAAAGTCAAGGGGTCTGAATACTTTCCGAATGCACTATATGTTGAGGTTATGCCCTTGAGTTGATTAAAACAATATTTTTCATACACTCTCTTGATCTTGTCTAATGTTAATTATTGTGATGAGCAGGTGTGCTCATCTCAAGTCTAGGATGTGCATATTACCCCCCTTTCTTCTATAAGCAGATGTGCCTCATTGTGTTTCAAAGACTTTCAGAATGATGTAGCCTGATCAAATGTCTATGTCTCTGTTACTGTCTCAGGCTTAATGAAGAGGCTTGAAGAGGAGATCAAGTTCAACTCCTACATGGTGTCTGACAAACTGCCCAAGGAGCTGGAGAGTAAGAGGCGGATGGTGCAGTTCCTGCAGAATGTGGTGTCCGAGCCGGACATGGGCCAAGCTGAGCTTGGGGAACTGGAGGACAAGGTGAGCTATCTACCTACCTGGGCAATTAAGCTATAGAGCCTTCACAGTTTGGTAAATTTGGTTCAAGAATGACTGACAATAACCAAAAAGTTTACGTCTGACTGTTCCCCACTTTGTCCAGATTCGAGAAAACAACATCAAAATAAACCACCTGATTGAGAAAAGAATGATGCGAAACGACCCCATGGATGATAAACTGTCTCTTTTCAGGCAACAGGTGATTTGTTTCTCATTTTCTCACATTCTTTAAACATATAGTAGAGTTATATGACATAACACCAGCAATTACATAGGATGGTTATGTCAATTTCAGAATGCCATTCTCCGTCATTGATACTAAATCCACAGGTCTTTGTCAGTTATATGAATCTGTAACAGCTGGCTGTTTGTGTGTGGTTAAGCGTTTGCAGGCTCTTTGAACTTGTGAGGATGATTGATGTTGTCTGATGAAGGGAGGCGGCTTCATTTATCATCAAAATGATTATTCAGGTTATCATATTGATATTTTAATATCTTTGTGTTTTGTTGTCTCTTTTGCTATAGTGAGGCATATGATAGAAGATAAATTGCTCTTGTTTGCTCACATACTGTATAAACCACCGCTCAACCTTTCCTAGCTGTGGTTTGTGGTAGACGCGCTGTTGCACCAACCTTACCTCCTTAACTATTCTGGCTGTGGATTTTGTGCGAATTACAATAAATGGGTATGCGTACATCTACTGGCTGTATCTGTATTGACTGTATATTTAATAATATGACTGGTGTGTGTCTTGCAGGCGTCCATCATAACGCGTAAGAAGGAGGCGTAGGCGGAGGAGCTGCAGGAGGCGCGGGAGGAGCTAGCTTCACTAGACGAGAGCTGAGCCAGAAGAACAGCCAGGCACGAGACCTGGACGGAGATGAGGTCATCCGGGGAGATGAGGTAACGTTCCAGTAACTAACCACCTCTCACAGCTCAGTACTCTGGTCTGAACATCATCATCCACACCAATAGTAATCCCCTTCCTCACCAGTGGAACAGGGTCAGAGCCTTTTTCGATGGTGAGTGATGTATCGTCATTTTGCAGCAAAAAGAGTGCTACCCCTATATACAATCCACAGGTTGTATCCTCCCCTTAATTGGGGAGGACGGGCTCGTGGTAATGGCTGGAGCGGAATGAGTGGAATTGTATCAAACACATTGTCACGATCGTCAGGGAGAGACCAAGGCGCAGCGTGATGAACAAACATACTTTAATTAGTTAAAGTGTAAAACCAATACAAAACAAGAAACGACTCGTGAAGTCCACGGTGACAATGACCGAACACGGAACAAAAACCCACAAACACAAAGGGAAAACAGACAGTTTAAATATGGCTCCCAATCAGAGACAACCAGCCAACAGCTGACACTCGTTGCCTCTGATTGGGAGTCACTCAGGCAAACATAGAAATAGACGAACTAGAACCCCCAACATAGAAATACACCACATAGAACAAACACACCCTGGCTCAACAACTAGAGTCCCATAGCCAGGGTGTGACAGTACCCCCCCCTAAAGGCGCGGACTGCGACCGCGCCTCAAAAAGAGCAAAACAGGGGAGGGCTGGGTGGGCATACCTCCTCGGCGGCGGTTCTGGCTCCGGGCTTGCCCACCACCCTCCAACAAACCCCCCATAGCGCCCCTGGTCCGGTCTGGCCCCGCTGGCTGGAGCTGGACTGGACGTAGCAGGAGCGGTTAGCTTCAACTCCGTAGTGGAGCCGTTGACCGGTACCTGGTTAGGCACCGGTGACCCAGGCACGGGTTGTGCCGGACAGACGACGCGCACCCCTGGCTTGGTGCGTGAGGCAGGAAAGGACCGGACCTGGCTGACGATGCGCACCCCTGGCTTGGTGCGTGGAGCAGCAACGGGCCGGACCGGGCTGTCGATACGCACCCCTGGCTTGGTGCGTGGAGCCGGAACGGGCCTCACCGGACTGACGACTCGCACCCCTGGCTTGGTGCGTGGAGCAGCAACGGGCTGGACCGGGCTGACGATGCGCACCCCTGGCTTGGTGCGTGGAGCCGGAACGGGCCTCACCGGACTGACGACTCGCACCCCTGGCTTGGTGCGTGGAGCAGCGACGGGCCGGACCGGGCTGACGATGCGCACCCCTGGCTTGGTGCGTGGAGCCGGAACGGGCCTCACCGGACTGACGACTCGCACCCCTGGCTTGGTGCGAGTAGCAGGAACGGGCTGGACCAGGCTGACGACTCGCACCCCTGGCTTGGTGCGAGTAGCAGGAACAGGCTGGACCAGGCTGACGACTCGCACCCCTGGCTTGGTGCGAGTGGCAGGAACGGGCTGGACCAGGCTGACGACTCGCACCCCTGGCTTGGTGCGAGTGGCAGGAACAGGCCGGGCCGGGCTGGCGACGCGCACCGTAGACTTGGTGCGAGTGGCAGGAACTGGCTGGGCCGGGCTGGCGACGCGCACCGTAGGGTTGGTGCGTGGAGCAGGGACAGGCCGGGCTGGGCTGGCGACGCACACCGTAGGCTTGGTGCGTGGAGCAGGGACAGGCCGGACTGGGCTGGCGACGCACACCGTAGGCTTGGTGCGTGGAGCAGGGACAGGCCGGACTGGGCTGGCGACGCACACCGTAGGCTTGGTGCGTGGAGCAGGGACAGGCCGGGCTGGGCTGGCGACGCACACCGTAGGCTTGGTGCGTGGAGCAGGGACAGGCCGGGCCGGGTTGGCGACGCGCACCGTACACTTAGTGCGGGAAGCAGGAACGGGCCGGGCCGGGCCGGCGACGCACACCGTAGGTTTGGTGCGAGGGGCAGGAACAGGCCGGGCCGGGCTGGCGACGCACACCGTAGGTTTGGTGCGAGGGACAGGAACAGGCCGGGCCGGGCTGGCGACGCACACCGTAGGCTTGGTGCGAGGTGCAGGAACAGGCCGGGCTGGGCTGGCGACGTGCACCGTACACTTAGTGCGGGAAGCAGGAACGGGCCGGGCCGGGCTGGCGACGCACACCGTAGGTTTGGTGCGAGGGGCAGGAACAGGCCGGGCCGGGCTGGCGACGCACACCGTAGGCTTGGTGCGAGGGGCAGGAACAGGCCGGGCTGGGCTGGCGACGTGCACCGTACACTTAGTGCGGGAAGCAGGAACGGGCCGGACCGGACTGGTGACGCACACCACTTGCTTGGTGTGAGGAGCGGGACTGGGTTTCATCATAACCCTCCGCTCCCTCAGCTGCCTACCGAGTTCCTCTCGCCGTGCCTCATTTCTCACCCTTTCCCTTATCGCCTCCAATAGCTCCATCCTCTGCAACACTAACTCCTGCTCCCTCTGGGCCAGTAGCCCCCTTAACCTGGTGGCCTCCTCACCTAATCGCCCTGTGGCAGCCTCCTGCTGCCCAGTCGCCCCTGCCGTGTGCCCCCCCCTAAATTTTTTTTGGGGTTGCCTCTCGACCGTCCGACGCTGACACTGCTTACGCCGTTGCTCCTCTCTCCGTCACCTCTCAACTGTCTCACTCCATGGCCGGCGATCCATCCCGGCCAGGATCTCCTCCCAGGTCCAGGAACCTCTCCCGTCCAATATCTCCTCCCATGACCAGGCTGCCTGCTCCTGGACACGCTGCTTGGTCCTGGTATGGTGGGTTTTTCTGTCACGATCGTCAGGGAGAGACCAATGCGCAGCGTGTTGAACGAACATGGTGAACTTTATTATCTTTAGTGATAATCTACACAATAAACAAAACAAGAAACGACTCGTGAAGTCCACGGTGACAATGACCGAACACGGAACAAAAACCCACAAACACAAAGGGAAAACAGACAGTTTAAATATGGCTCCCAATCAGAGACAACCAGCCAACAGCTGACACTCGTTGCCTCTGATTGGGAGTCACAGGCAAACATAGAAATAGACGAACTAGAACCCCCAACATCCATGGTTTCTATGTGTTTGATGCCATTCCATTTACTCCGTTTCAGCCATTATTATGAGCCGTCCTCCCCTCAGCAGCCTCCACTGATACAATCAGCTCAGTATTCGCATGTTACGTTGTACAATTGCCCACCACTCAAAACTGTTTGCTGACGTCAAACTTTGTGGATAAGAGTGAAGTGCGGTAGAGTTGTGCGCTGCACTGAACATGAGATGCTATTTCTGCTCTTATGTAAACAGAGAAGGGCTCACTGGCTAAAGCTACTTATCCCTTTCCACTCACTCTCCCACATTCCCATGCAAGGTTAAAAATAGACCACAACATGGACTACCTAGAACCAGGACTGTAGAACAAACTGTCTGAAATGTTAGCTGTTTTCTAATCTCTTATAAATAAATCTTCTAAATTTAATTCAGAAAACACAAACCATTGCGGTGTAAATCCTTCAACTAAATGTAACTCGATGGCTGATATTTTACCCCAATCGAAACAAACTGACACAAACTTTGACGCCATGTTCGGTTAGATCTCTCTGAACCATTGGCAGAGAGTGGACTCTCAAATTTGAGTGCCTTTTTGACTCTGCAACACAGTGCCAGGAGCCATCACTCCTGTGTGTCAACACACCCTGTGCCTGGAGAACGACCACTCTTCAAATCTCAGACTAAGCCTGTTGCTGTTTGCAGAGGAACATTTGCCATAAGCAGCTCTACAGTATATAGTTGGTGGTCGCTGATGGATAGGGCACGTACTGCACCCATATGTTCATGTCTGAGTGTTTTATGAGCAGGAGTTCCACACGCAGTGAGAACATCGCGCTGAGCGCTGGACAGTCTGGCGAGGCACATAAGCTGCCTGTCTGAAATAGCAGCCACTTTCTCCCTGCTCTCCCCAATGCCCTTTTCAATGTGGGTGGTTTCATCTGCTCCTCTCGATAATGAGGGAGTGTGTTTTGATGTGAAAGGAAACTCTAAACCTGATTTCTCAGTATGGTGAAACAGTAGGTAAGAACAAGGAGGATTTCTGTGGTAAATGGAAAGGACTTATCAGTCTCTCCTGGGGTCATGGTGGAAATTATCACCTTATCAGTCTCTCCTGGGGTCATGGTGGAAATTATCACCTTATCAGAGGCACTTTCCATTTCTGAACTTGCGTGTAATCACGTCACCCGGCAGCTGCAGGAGGGCCTCTGTATTATGACCCTGTGTGCTCATCCTCAGTTAGCTTGGTTTTAAACCCACTACTAACTAGTCCACCATGTTTCTAGTGTTCCATCATCCATTGCTTGGCTCTCTGTTCCCTTACACCCCAAATTCCCCCAACATAAATAACAGATGTGTTTGCTCAATCTGGAAAGGTTATTCACCCGGCCAAAATGGATTTTCACATATACTGTAGGCAACTGCTATTTCTAAATTTGCACAGTGCATATACTGTATGTGCATACAATGTTTCATTATCTACTATCCCACTGTGCTGCATTTTCAACAACTATCCTCCTGTCCTGAGTATGTGTTTGTCATGATAAATAGTTCAAGCCCTTCAAAGTGCTGGCTAATTTAGTAGCAGTTGTTCTGGGGACATATTGTATGTGATGAGGGAATGCTATGCAGCATTGTTCTGCCTGCTAATTCCCTCTCAACCTTGTCTGCACTTGATGTCCTGAAATAAAACAAACCATACGTTCTCGCGCACAAGCCGTGCATGCCTTAAGTGACGTAACATTCTGTGATTTCTGGGGTTGTTCTCCAGAATGAACAACGGCTATAAATGTTGACATGCACAGGAGTCCCGTGTAGCTCAGTTTGTAGAGCATGGCGTTTGCAACGCCAGGGTTGTGGGTTCGATTCCCACAGGGGGCCAGTATGAAAAAGAAAGAACAAAAAAAATGTATGCACTCACTAACTGTAAGTCGCTCTGGATAAGAGCGTCTGCTAAATGACAAAAATGTAAATGTCTCATCGTACCCCTACAGAGAAAGGGGGAGGGCGGGTTGAGTGCCGCATCCAGTTGGCCAACATTTGGTGTGTTTGCCAGGGGTCATGTCTGTCTTGGTAGGAATTGGAGAGGATGACCTTGCTTCAAGATGTGGTTGTCCTTGTGTATCTGGGAAGAAAGAGAACATGTCAGTCTCATTTTCAGACACAAAAATATGCAATGTTATTGTCATTACTTTACAATGTTATTGTCATTACTTTACAATGTTATTGTCATTACTTTTGGTCATCCCCTTTCTCGTAGCATATTTTTTCATGACAGTCACTCTCGGTTCCTCTCAGTTCAAACGTTTTGTCGGGAAACTGCGCAGCAAGGGGACTGTGTTCAAGAAGAAGAGGCAGGAGATTACCGAGCTGAGTACGGGGTCCTGCAGCGGACAGAGGAGATCCTAAAACAGAGGCATGAGGTCGGCCAACAGCAACTGGTAATGCACTGCACCAGTCCCCTTTCACAGCAGGGCAGCTATCGACCCTACCTGCTTTCCTCCATACCGCATAGAAGCCCCCTTATAGTGGTACACGTGCCTTTCCATCCTGCCCTTGTTCATACAAATTGCATTGACCTTCGTTGGAAATGACTTCACACCTCAGAAGCCTCTGACCTCCTGACTTGCTGAAAGCCTGGCTGATCAGGGAGTGCTGGGCTGCTGCTATTTGCGAAGGCTGCATCTGTTTCTCTCTATGACGCTGGTATTTTTTTATCAGTGGATGCACCCCCCCCCCTTACCCGTTGTACCACGGCTGGTTGGTTGTTGGTGCCTGAGACCCCTCTCCTGTCGCCACCTGCATTCCTGTTCCCAACCATTACCCCTCCCACATAAAACGATGAACCATTTGCTGCAACAATGTTGGTTATACAGTATAATCCAGAACATGCTAGAAGCCCTGCCTGCCACTGTGAACTATTCATATCAGAAACAAATATTAGAATTCATGTAGTTTCATTAGGTCATTCACATTCAGTCTTTATCAGTGTTTGAACATATTTGCAGGAGAGGGCTGGGGGCTACATGGGAAGGAAATTGTGTTTATTTTCATAGGTCACAGTTTTCTCACTCATCATATACAATAGACCGAACATGCACACACTGCTACCTCAACCGCATGTAACCTTCTCTTCTTCTTGGAGAACAAAGTGGCCTGTACTCCCAGGTGTCGAGCTGAGCCCTGCCTGTTTGTGTGGACACAACCCTTCACAGTGCTTAGAGCTGCAACACCGGACTAGGCTATCTGTGATTTATCCTCCCAGACAGGGAGGGAGTAACTTAGTCACTGAGTCACAGCTATAGACTTACATTTGTCGACATGGTGCAAACTAATTATAAACAATTAATTAGGTGAGCCATTGTATGTTATTACATGGAGGTTTACTCATCTCAAATTATTAACTTGTATTTACTGATTACACTCATTAAAAATATCCCATTGCCTTGCAGCTCGTGTGGGTGTAGATAGACTACATTGCTCAAGTGCCAGGTGTTTGTGGTCCTCTGTAGCTCAGCTGGTAGAGCACGGCGCTTGTAATGCCAAGGTAGTGGGTTCGATCCCCGGGACCACCCATACGCAAAAATGTATGCACGCATGACTGTAAGTCGCTTTGGATAAAAGCGTCTGCTAAATGGCTTATTATTATTATTTCTAGTGAACTCTTGCCAGGTCCCTACACTGACATTTGGTTTAGGATGATAAAACTGGACACAATCTCATTATGTTATGCTGCCATATTACAAGGCACAAGGATCTCATATTTTGTGTAGTAACTGATGACTGGAACTCCATATGGCCACATTGTTGTCTGTGTAGCAATCCATGGAGACACAGAAGGGGATCTCTGGGTACAGTGACACTCAGGAGGAACTGGAGAGGGTGTCGGCCATCAAGAGTGAGCTGGACGAGATGAAGGGACGCTCGCTGGACGACATGTCTGAAATGGTGACTATACCAGGGGATCGGAGCCAATGTCTGAGTAGCATGTCACTTTACCACAGGGACAGATCTTTACCCACTCCAGACCACCCATACTCAGGATGATGCTCATTGCCTTCAAATGCACTACCCCAACACAGCACAATTTGTTTTACAAGAACGGTTCTTGTCTGACTATGTGTTGTTGTTTTTTTACCCCCTTTTTCTCTCCAATTTCGTGATATCCAATTGCGATCTTGTCTCATCGCTGCAACTCCCCAACGGGCTCGGGAGTGGCGAAGGTCGAGTCATGCGTCCTCTGAAACATGACCCCCCAAACCGTGCTTCTTAACACCCGCCCGCTTAACCCGGAAGCCAGCCGCACCAATGTGTCGGAGGAAACACCGTCCAACTGATGACCGAAGTCAGCCTGCAGGCGCCCGGCCCACCACAAGGAGTCGCTAGAGAGCGATGAGCCAAGTAAAGCCCCCCGGCCAAACCCTTCCCTAACATGCATGACGCTGGGGCCAATTGTGCACCGCCCTATGGGACTCCCGGTCACAGCCGGCTGTGACACAGCCTGGGCTCGAACCTGGGTCTGTAGCGACACCTCAAGCACTGCGATGCAGTGCCTTAGACTTCTGCGCCACTCGGGAGGCCCTGACTATGTGCTGTTTTGTTTGTGGCATTGATTTCTTCGCATTGATTTAGTGTCTTGATACCTTTGAAATACCCCTTGTGCATACTTCAACTGTCCTTTTGTGCTTGTATTCAGGGGAAAAGAAGAGTAGTTGCTGAGTTTTAAGCTAGGTTTGATTACCAAATCAACCAGTTTTATCAATCTGTCATCCCATTGCAAGAATGTCCAAATAGAACCAGTTGCAGCTGATTAGACCCCAGTCCAAGATGTTTTTGAAATTCTTTAAAGCGTAGTCAGGGTTTGTGGTTAAAGCTGGCAGCTTTCACACTTAGCAGATAGTAGACTGTGCCGCTCCCAATGATCAAGCATCTCTGGCTGTAGCTATAAACGTGGACTTTCACTCACCTCACAATCTTCCAGATTTCTCACAATAGACCACATCCACACACACACTGCTATACACACACACTGCTATACACACACACTTCTATACACACACACTGGAGAACAAAGTGGCCTGAACTCCCAGGTGTTGAGCTGAGCCCTGCCTGTTTGGTGGACTCAACCCTTCACAGTGCTTAGAGCTGCAACACCTGCCCCTTTAAAGTAGACTTTCACTCACCTCACAATCTTCCAATCTCCTGGTTGGCCTTAGATAGCCCTGCCTCTGCATACACACCCTATAAGGACCCTGCTTGTGTACAACACCAGTGACATTATGATTATCAGATGTTATTATGGGTATAGTTAGTCATCTTAAACTGACATTTCTGTGGATTATTTTGAAATATGTGATACTGTTTTTCAGGTGAAGAAACTGAATTCGACGATAGTGGAGAAAAAGTCTGCCCTTGCGCCTATCATATAGGAACTGAGGCCTTTGAGACAGCAGTGTCAGGTGAACGTCACACGCTGTATAACTTTGTCAGCAGTTTCATCTTCAAATTGTGTCATTACACAGAGCTGTGTCTATAGAATTAGCCACATTTACAACCCCAGATTATTATGCGAAACTAGAAGCTTATCAAAGCATGACATGAGGTTTAACAAAGGGGAAAACCCTGATGCCTCCACCAGCTGCTATTCACTTTCAAGTTTCAAGTTTTTGTCACATGCACAAGTACGGTGAAATGCCTTTCTTGCAAGCTCCAAACCCAACAATGCAGTCATCAATATCAATGTAGCGCAAAAAATTACATGAGGTAGAATAAGGTTTACAGGATTTTTGTGGAGTCCATTAACGATAGTTTACATGTAGTCTATATGTAAAGTGTATGATGGGGAAAGCCCCTCGCATCCATCTGCTAAAGCAGGGGATCATATTTTCCAACATGTGTTCCCTAAATTGGTACACCATCATACTGGCTAACATTAACTAATGATGAAAAGCTGCGGCAGAAATATATTAATAGACTAAGCTAGAGCTAAGATTAAGTAAAATGGTGCTTTGATCTGATAGTGATATGAAAGGGGTTGGGGAAACTAACTTTTGCATACAGTGCATTCGGAAAGTATTCAGACCCCTTGACTTTTTCCACATTTTGTTACGTTACAGCCTTATTCTAAAATGAATTAAATTAATGTTTTCCCTCATCAATCTACACACAATACCCCATAATGACAAAGTGAAAACGGGTTTTTAGATTTTTTTGCAAATGTATTAAAAATAAAAAACAGATACCTTATTTACATAAGTATTTAGACCCTTTGCTATAAGACTCGAAATGGAGCTCTGGTGCATCCTGTTTCCATTGATCATCCTTGATGTTTCTACAACTTGATTTGGAGTCCACCTGTGGTAAATTCAATTGATTGGACATGATTTGGAAAGGCACAAACCTGTCTATATAAGGTCCCACAGTTGACAGTGCATCTATATAAGGTCCCCAAGAACACAGCGGCCTCCATCATTCTTAAATGGAAGAAGTTTGGAATCACCTACACTCTTCCTAGAGCTGGCTGCCCGGCTAAACTGAGCAATCGGGGGAGAAGGGCCTTGGTCAGGGAGGTGACCAAGAACTCGATGGTCACTCTGACAGAGCTCCAGAGTTCCTCTGTGGAGATAGTTGTCCTTCTGGAAGGTTCTCCCATCTCTGCAGCACTCCACCAATCAGGCCTTTATGGAAAAGTGGCCAGATGGAAACCCTTCCTTAGTAAAAGGCGCGACAGCCCGCTTGGAGTTTGCCAAAAGGCACCTAAAGGACTCTCAGACCATGAGAAACAAGATTCTCTGGTCTGAAAACATGATTGAACTCTTTGGCCTGAATGCCAAGCATCATGTCTGGAAGAAACCTGGCACCATCCCTACGGTGAAGCATGGTGGTGGCAGCATCATGCTGTGGGGATGTATTTCAGCAGCAGGGACTGAGACTAGTCAGGATCAAGGGAAAGATGAACGGAGCAAAGTACAGAGAGATCCTTGATGAAGACCTGCTCTAGAGTGCTCAGGACCTCAGACTGGGGCAACGGTTCACCTTCCAACAGGACAACGACCCTAAGCACACAGCCAAGACAACGCAGGAGTGGTTTAGGGACAAGTCTCTGAATGTCCTTGAGTGGCCCAGCCAGAGCCCGGACTTGAACCCAATCAAACATCTCAGGAGAGACCTGAAAATGGCTGTGCAGCGACGCTCCCCATCCCCACAGAGCTTGAGAGGATCTGCAGAGAAGAATGGGAGAAACTCCCCAAATACAGGTGTGCCAAGCTTGTACCGTCATACCCAAGAAGACTCGAGGCTGTAATCGCTGCCAAAGGTGCTTCAACAAAGTACTGAGTAAAGGGTCTGAATACTTATGTAAATGTGATATTTCAGATTGTATTTTTTGTTTTTTAAATTAGCAAACATATCTACAAATCTGTTTTTGCATTGTCATTATGGGGTATTGTGTGTAGATTGATGAGGGAAAAACCCACATGTAATCAATTTTATAATAAGGCTGTAACGTAACAAAATGTGGAAAAAGTCAAGGGGTTTGAATACTTTCCGAATGCACTGTACATAACATACTATAACAGTGAATTGTCTTGTCATTGTACTGTCTTTTTAAAATGCTGTAGAATATGTGCATGTATGTGTATTTCTCTGTTCATGTATCTGTGAATGGGTTTTTCTTTCATCACAGGAGCTAACTCAAGAGTAGGAGGAGAGGAAGGCCCAGTATGACAGCTGTGCTGCAGGCCTGGAGAGTAACCGATTCAAACTGGAGCAGGTACAATATGAAATGCTGTGTGTAGACACCTGACGTATCTAACACCCCCACATATCACCACGTATGACATTTTCTTTATATCATTTGTTCACATACACCACACAATTTGAATGTTCTCTCCATGAGGAACAGTTCAGTTTCTTATGGTCGAATGTTTTCATTCACCACCTCCCATTGCAGGAGGTGAGAGCTCTGAGGGTGGAGATGACTCGGCAGGAAAACCGATACCACTACATCAACTCCAGGGCGGCAGGTAGCTTAGTGGGTAAGAGCGTTGTGCCAGTAACCGAAAGGTCGCTGGTTCTAATCCCCGAGCCGACTGGCTGAAAAATCTGTCGATGTGCCCTTAAGCAAGGCACTTAACCCTAATTGCTCCTGTAAGTCGCTCTGGATAAGAGCGTCTGCTAAATGTGTAAAATGTAAATGTAATCAACTGCATGATAGAGGTAAGGGGCTCAAGTAGCAAACAACCTCTTCCCCAACACCTGTTCTGTACTGTGACAGTAAACCAGAGCTCTCGTTCTTCTTGCTCTCTCTCTCTCTATCCCCATCTCTCTCTCTTTCTCCCCATCTCTCTCTGTTCTTCACAGATCATTTGAGTTGCAAATGCAGCGAGCAGCAGAAGAGATGAAGGCCTACGTGTCCCCTGATCCGCAAGAGAGGAGGAAGACCATCAGGTGAGCACGCTGAGCTGAGTCTGCCAGCTGCTTAGGACTTCTATTACCGTAGTCACCTCCATATGCTCCTATTACAACACTTGTGCATCTGCTACTGTTGCCACACACCTCCCCAAATACCTCCCTCAAAGGATACACTTACAGCAGTCCGTTAGTAGATTCACCCTCAGGTCTTTTATATACTATAGCTATGCATTTCCAAGTGTGTCCAGAAGTATTGCTTTGCTAAAAGAAAAATATGTAAATAAAATACTGGTTTAACCTCTACGGGATCGGTTGAGCTAACGTGCGCTAATGTGATTAGCTTGACTGTTGTAAGTAATGGTAAGCTTTCCAGGACATAGACATGTCTTATATGGGCAGAAAGCTTAAATTCTTGTTAATCTAACTGCACTGTCCAATTTACAGTAGCTATTACAGTGAAAACATACCATGCTATCGTTTGAGGAGAGTGCACAACAACAAAAAACGTATCACGGCAACTGGTTTGATACATTCACCTCTGAATATGCATATCCTTGTTTCAGGTCCTGAGCTACAGGCAGTTAGATTTGGGTATGTCATTTTAGGCGAGAATTGAAAAAAAGGGTCCGATCCTTAAGAGGTTAATAAAATATGTTATGGATGTTTGCTATTTTGTGTTATTCAACTAACAGGTAGTATTTCCTTTGTAAAACTCACAGTAATGTTATAATGGCAGCATTGAGCTTGCGAAAGTTAATAGGCTCACATGAACTCTGACCCTCTGGCTGTTTCACAGGGAGCAGTACATGAAGAACATTGCAGAGCAGGAGTCCCTGGGCAAGGTGAGCAGGGAGGTGCTTTGTCAGGATGCAGGCACAGTGCCAATGGAATCTGAAATGGATCCCCTGCAAACACAGAGGCCATACTTTAGGTTCCTTCCTTCCTCACCCTGATAAGAATGTGGCCAGAGAGGAGAAAGTGTATGGCAGAGGGGGCCCATCTGCATTCCTGCTAAACCATTTGGCCCAGTAGACGAGCTGTAATGTAGACGTGCTGCTGCAGCACACCAGCATAGGTGCAGCTTGTATAACACGCAGCAGTGATACATTACTCCCGTGTCCTCAGTTAGTCTCGTGTAGCTCAGTTGGTAGAGCATGGCGCTTGCAACGCCAGGGTTGTGGGTTCGTTTCCCACGGGGGACCAGTATGAAAATGTATGCACTCACTAACTGTAAGTGGCTCTGGATAAGAGCGTCTGCTAAATGACTAAAATGTAAAAATTTAAATGTCTGTCCACTCATCACTGTGGAGCAGCTGTAGGGTTGCATGCTGATTTCTCTCTACGCTAGTCCTCAGTGCATCAACAGTCATCTATATTTCCCCCCTGACACATTCGTGACAAGCTACTTCTTTATTAGGGTTTCCCATCTATGGTTATAGGCTTGATGCTAATGCACTTGGTAATATTTGGCTGGTCAAGCTTCCAGTCAATGAATACAAGGATGTCATGACCACCCTTCCATTCAGTGTTTGATACAAAACCATATGCTGACACTTGGAAAGAAAAGGCATTCAAATGAAAATGGCTGTTTAACTATGCTGTTATCATACACTGTTTGATGTCAAAATGAGCCTGTTGTGATGATGTAATAATTATTCCTCTTTCCCTTTGGACAACAACAGAAGTTGCGTGAGCAGCAGAAGGCGGTGAGGGAGAGCCACTGGCCCAACATGAAGCAGGTGAAGATGTGGCTCGACCTGGAGCAGCTGATGGCGTGCAAGTGTGGGTGCTTCCTGAGGGCCCAGAGCCAGGCCTCCATTGGTCAGGTCATCCAGGAGGGTGGTGTGGATAGACTGGTGCTGTGAGAACGAGGAGACCGTCAACGCAGGGCCAACTCTGGTACACTACGCTCTACCACAATGAGCAGGACTTTTCACTACTGTAATTAGTTCTCCAGTTATAGTTCATTAGTCTGTTCATGTAATCAAAACTTCTCTGCTTTCATCGCCTAAAGATGAAAAGGATTCCATTTAACCAATCTGTGTTAATCCTGGTTTAGTTAGCTAGTTGTGTTCTCTGTGAATAATCCCAAAGTAGGATTTAGTTCCATTAAACAGATTTTTCTCCTGTGAGGAGCACCTTTCCGGTGATGATATTGTGAGAGGTGCCTGATGAATCCAGAACCGAAAGAACACATGTTCCAGAAGGTGTCTGACGGATAAGAGGTTTAACGCTCTCTGACTTCAAACAAATCCTCAGCTTCCATTTTTTTTTTACACATCTTTAAGAATAAAGCTCTAATCTATGTGTCTAAAGATAACCGTGTACAAAGTGTTGCACTTGGGATGCGGCTGCACTCAGCTATTTTGGGAAACAACCGCCATGACCTTGGGCCGAGTAGCTTGCCTATTTAGGAAATCAACTGGACCTCTGTTCAGACAGGACAGTGCAGGGTGAACTGGTCCAGCATCATCATCTTGCATATTGTACCTTGGCCAAGTCTATGCCTGTTTTAACACTTAAAATGTAACACCTTTGTTTGTTCCATGTGTTATATTAGCTACATAATATCCTGTTGTACTTCTCATTTGACTTTGTTAATACAAATATATTCTTAATACAATACTTGAAGATAATCCATATTTGGTCGTAGTTCTGGCTGACTAGTCACAGCCATCTAAACGGGATGGATAACAGTGAATAATAAATCAAACTGACAGGTTTACTGTCATCCTTAGAATATACCTCTCCCATTCACAAATCAATCATTCTGTCCCTCTGTCTATAAATGCCGATGTGAATAAGGGGACATGTCACTCGCTGTGCCCATGCCTTAGCTTTGGCTGTAGTGTGGGGACTTGAAGGGGGCATTCCTCTCATTCACCCATGGTAATTTCATCCCTCCCCATCCTCTCTCCTACCTCTCTGGGTGAAGCATTACTCAATATTCTGCTGACAGCCACAGTTAGTGCCAGATGGATCAAGTGTGAATTCTAGAAGGCTACTTGACTGGGAACTGATTGGGATAGAATTATAACTGAATTGGCCTTGTGCCACTGGAGGCCTCATTTAAGAAGTGTCAACAGATGACAAATGCCAGTCCTGTTAAAAGAGCTGACAATAATGCCCCCTAATAAACACAGTGGGGTGTCATCTAGTGCCCTTTGCTGGCATCCTTCACTCCATGATAGCAGTTTGCCTGTGATTGCTTTGCATTTCTTTGTTTGACAAAGAGAATCTGCCTTTGTTTAAGTCACATTCTGATTTCAGGTGAGGTGAGGTGCATGCAAATATATGAGCATGCTGCCTGGGGTCCAGTCACTCTCATTGTTGTTGGTCATACTAATGTACGTAAATACTGGTTGTGGCTAGGTATGCAAACCTAGAGTGTGGATCACAATCTATGCTGGTACATAGACTTTCAAGATAAGGAAACCAATATTTTTCCATTTGGGTAAACTAAGAAGTCCCAAACAAGTGAATTGAATGTGCCACATCTAGGCCTGTCTTCACTATCCCGTGTCAAAGTATATTGATCTTGGGTTACTATAAATTAGTTAATGGCTTTTAATTTTGCTCATTTAATAATTCATAGCAAATACTGGTACTGGAGACTGGAGAGTGTGCAGGCTTTCGTTACACCCCTCTGATTCAGCTAATCATGGCCCAGACTAAATACCATGATACGTTTTATTTGAACAAGGTGTGTTAATGATGCGCTGGAATAAAAGCCTTTAGGCCTATACCTAGTAACCCTGGAACCTGAGTTGGAGAACCCTGATCTAGGGCCTTACTGATCCTGGGAAAGGAAAATGTATCAACCTGATTTTCTGCATCAGACTACTAGAGAGTAGTATTGTTGTTTGACAATGTCTGTCACTGACTGCAAACTAATATCAAACTCTTGGTCAATTGAATTTTGCTTAACTGTCCTTTACTTTAAAGAAAACATTTCCGGACTCCTTCCGTCCAACGAGAGTAGCCCACATGCGGAATATGCAAGAAAGGGGCCGTGTTGAGGTCGTCAGGTAGCCTGGCAGGTAGGAGCGTTGGGCCAGTAACCGAAAGGTTGCTGGATCGAATCCCTGAGCTGACAAGGTAAACATCTGTCGTTCTGCCCCTGAGGAAGGCAGTTAACCCACTGATCCCCGGGCGCCGATGACGGGAATGTCGATTAAGGCAGCCCCCACACCTCTCTGATTCAGAGGGGTTGGGTTAAATGCGGAAGACACATTTCAGTTGAATGCATTCAGTTCAGGCCAGGACAACAACCTCTCCCTCAATCTGAGCAAGACAAAGGAGCTGATTATGGACTATAGGAAAAGTAGGGCCGAACAGGCCCCCATTAACATCGACGGGGCTGAAGTGGAGCGGGTCGAGAGTTTCAAGTTCCTTGGTGTCCACATCACCAACAAACTATCATGGTCCAAACACACTAAGACAGTTGTGAAGAGGGCACGACAACACCTATTCCCCCTCAGGAGACTGAAAAGATTTGGCATGGGTCCACAGATCCTCAAAATGTTCTACAGCTGCACCATCGAGAGCATCCTGACCGGTTGCATCACCGTCTGGTATGCTCGGCATCTGACCGTAAGGCGCTACAGAGGGTAGTGCGTACGGCCCAGTACATCACTGGGGCCAAGCTTCCTTACATCCAGGACCTATATACTAGGTGGTGTCAGAGGAAGGCCCAAAAAATTGTCAAAGACTCCAGCCACCCTAGTCATAGACTCTCTCTGCTACCGCACGGCAAGCAGTACCGGAGCGCCAAATCTAGGACCAAAAGGCTCCTTAACAACTTCTAATCGTTAAAGACCAACCACTTAAGCCATAGACTGTTCTCTCTGCTTCCGCACGGCAGGCGATACCTGTGCATCAAGTCTGACACCAACAGGCTCCTGAACAGCTTCTATCCCCATGCCATAAGACTGCTAAATAGCTAAACAAAGCCTTGGTAGCTTCAACAATGAGTTACGCAGGGCCAGACCGCAACATTTATCGGGAATGATCAACAAGAATATCAACAATACCCGCACTCTATTTGTCATGGTCGACAAGCTTACAAACCCAATAAAGCAGATACCATCAGAACTCATGTCCACTGTGAAATGTAATGAATTTGCGTGTTTCTTTAGTGAACAAATTATAAGTATAAGACGGACCATCAAAACTGCTCAGTCTAAAAAGGACTCTGTACCGTCACCACGACCACCAAGACATAACTTGGTTATTATGTCGCATTTTAATACAATTGATCAAAAATCCCTAGAAGAAACAGTTCGACATCTTAAAGCTTCCACTTGCTGTCTCGACACACTGCCATCAGACTTTTTTTAAAACAATTTTTAACTCTATAACAATGGACATACAGCAAATAGTTAATAGCTCTCTGCAATCAGGCATTTTCCCAACATCTCTAAAAACAGCTGCCATTAAGCCCCTATTAAAAAAGAGAACACTGGATGCATCTATAATGAACAACTATAGACCTGTATCAAATCTCCCTTTCATAGCCAAGATCATTGAGAAGGTTGTCTTCAATCAACTCAGCAATTTTGTGACCTCATGCGGTCTCTTAGACAAATTTCAGTCAGGTTTCTGACCTCACCACAGTACTGAAACGGCCCTGATTAAAGTTTTAAATGATATACGGCTGAATACTGATTCTGATAAAGTAACAGTTCTGGTTCTATTAGATCTCAGTGCAGCATTTGACACTGTCGATCATGGAACACTTATAGATAGGCTGGAAAAGTGGGAAGGACTCTCCGGGACAGTCCTTGATTGGTTCAGATCTTATCTAGATGGCCGGAGTTACTTTGTCACCATTGGTAATCATGAATCTGATAGGGTGGCTACAGTGGGGGAAAAAAGTATTTAGTCAGCCACCAATTGTGCAAGTTCTCCCACTTAAAAAGATGAGAGAGGCCTGTCATTTTCATCATAGTTACACGTCAACTATGACAGACAAAATGAGGAAAAAAAATCCAGAAAATCACATTGTAGGATGTTTAATGAATTTATTTGCAAATTATGGTGGAAAATAAGTATTTGGTCAATAACAAAAGTTTCTCAATACTTTTGTTATATACCCTTTGTTGGCAATGACACAGGTCAAACGTTTTCTGTAAGTCTTCACAAGGTTTTCACACACTGTTGCTGGTATTTTGGCCCATTCCTCCATGCAGATCTCCTCTAGAGCAGTGATGTTTTGGGGCTGTCGCTGGGCAACAGGGACTTTCAACTCCCTCCAAAGATTTTCTATGGGGTTGAGATCTGGAGACTGGCTAGGCCACTCCAGGACCTTGAAATGCTTCTTACGAAGCCACTCCTTCGTTGCCCGGGCGGTATGTTTGGGATCATTGTCATGCTGAAAGACCCAGCCACGTTTCATCTTCAATGCCCTTGCTGATGGAAGGAGGTTTTCACTCAAAATCTCACGATACATGGCCCCATTCATTATTTCCTTTACACGGATCAGTCGTCCTGGTCCCTTACAGCCCCAAAGCATGATGTTTCCACCCCCATGCTTCACAGTAGGTATGGTGTTCTTTGGATGCAACTCAGCATTCTTTGTCCTCCAAACACGACGAGTTGAGTTTTTACCAAAAAGTTCTATTTTACATCTGACCATATGACATTCTCCCAATCCTCTTCTGGATCATCCAAATGCACTCTAGCAAACTTCAGACGGGCCTGGACATGTACTGGCTTAAGCAGGGGGACACGTCTGGCACTGCAGGATTTGAGTCCCTGGCGGCGTAGTGTGTTACTGATGGTAGGCTTTGTTACTTTGGTCCCAGCTCTCTGCAGGTCATTCACTAGGTCCCCCCGTGTGGTTCTGGGATTTTTGCTCACCGTTCTTGTGATCATTTTGACCCCACGGGGTGAGATCTTGCGTGGAGCCCCAGATCGAGGGAGATTATCAGTGGTCTTGTATGTCTTCCATTTCCTAATAATTGCTCCCACAGTTGATTTCTTCAAACCAAGCTGCTTACCTATTGCAGATTCAGTCTTCCCAGCCTGGTGCAGGTCTACAATTTTGTTTCTGGTGTCCTTTGACAGCTCTTTGGTCTTGGCCATAGCGGAGTTTGGAGTGTGACTGTTTGAGAT